TTGTTGTGGTTATTGAGTTGTAGTTGTTAATATATTCTGGATATTCATTCCTTAATCAGATATGTGATTTACAGATATTTTCTATTTTGTGCTGTCTTTTCACTTTCTAGATAGTGTTCTTTGATGGACACAGTTTTTAATTGTGATAAAGGCCTATTTATCTACTTTTTTGTTGCTTGTGCTTTTGGTATCCAATCCAGCAAATCATTGTCAAATCCAATGTTGTGAAGATTTTCTTTCCTGACGTTTTCTTCTAAGACTTTTATAGTTTTTAGCTCTTATGTTTAGGCATTTGATCCACTTTGGGTTAATTTTTGTATTTGGTGTAAGGTAACAGTCCAATTTCGTTCTCTTGCCTTTGGATGGCCAGTTTTCCCAGCACAAATGCTGTTCTTTCCTCATTGAATGCTTTTGGCACCTTGTTGGAAATCAACTGCCCACATAGGTTTATTTCTGGCCTCTCTATTCTATTCCATTGGCCTATATGGGTATCCTTATGCCAGTACTACACTGTTTAGATTACTGTTTTCTGTAGTATGATTTGAAATCGGGAAGTGTGAATCCTTCAACTTCATTCTTTTTCAAAATTGTTTTGGCTGTGCAGACTCCCATGAAATTCCATATGAACTTTAGGATGGGGTTTTTCATTTCTGCAAAAAAAATCGTTGGGATTTTGATAGGGATTGCATGAATCTATAGATTATATTGACATCTTAGCAATATTAAGTGTTCCATTTCATGAATACAGGATATCTTTTCATTTATTTAGGTCTTTTTCTTTCAGCAACCATTTGTAGTTTTCAGTGGACAAGTCTTTGGCTATGTAGTTAAATTTATTCCTGAGTATTTTATTCTTTTTGATCCTATTGTAAATGGAATTTTCTTAATTTTATTTTCAGATTGTTCATTACAAGTGTATCAAAATTCAACTGATTTTTGTGTTTTGATTTTGTGTCCTACAACTTTGTTAAATTTATTAGCTCTACAGTTTGTGTTTGTGTGTGTGGTGTGTATGTGCGTGTGTGGTGTGTGTGTGTGTGTGGTGTGTGTGTGTGTGATGTGTGTGTGGTGTGTATTTGTGTGTGAGTGGTGTGCGTGTGCATGTGTGTGTAAGCTTTAGGACTTCCTATATTTAAAATCAGGCCATCTGTGTACAGAGATAATTTCACTTCTTCCTTTTTAATTTGGATGCTTTTATTTATTTTTTTCTTTCCTACATGCTCTTACTAGAACTTTGAGCACTAGGTTGAAGAGAAGTGATGAAAGCAAATAAAAGCACCAATCAGAACACACAGCCTTGACATTTGGAGGGTTAAATTCTTGTTGCCCGGCCTGGCCTCACCAAGCTGCACTGGGCGTGTGGGCTGCTTCCCCTCACAGCTGCCTGACACAGCCATAACCACAGGGAGAGGCTGAAATTCACTGAAATATACCAGCCTCTTTATCAAGTTCTCCCTTGGACGCTCCAAGTTTTTGACTAGACTAGTTCCCAAATACAGATGGTCCTTGACTTAGGATGGTTAGACAATGATTTTCCCACTTTATGATGATGCGAAAATAGAAATGGTGCATTCAGTAGAAATTGTATTTCGAATACCCATACACTCATTCTGCTTCTCACTTTTAGTACCATATCCAATAAATTACATGAGATACTCAACACTGTATTATAAAATAGGCTTTGCGTTAGATGATTTTGAAATAGAAGAGTTCTCTTATGACCCTCGCAGGGCGTGCGACAGGAATGAGGCTTGCTCCTTTGGTGCCCTGCTGCTCAGACCCCTAGGGGGAGCATGCAGCATGCAGATGGGCAGGTGCAGAAGCTGTGGGGAGTGCTTTTGGGCTCCGGCCCCATGGCAGCATCTAGGACTTCTGAAGCCCAAGTGGGCGTATGTTACAGTGTGCTCTTTCAGCTATACCATCTGCAGACAGCTTGTGTTAGTCAGCTCAATAGACCCTTATCACAAGGACAGAGAGCCTTATCACAAGGACAGAGAGGTAGTGTGACAGCCTGAGTTCTTGCCCAGTGTCCTGGAAGAATCAGATCACATGTTGGCTGGAGGGTTGAGTGCAAGGTTTTATTGAGTGGTGGAGGTGGCTCTCAGCGAGATGGATGGGGAGCTGGAATGGGGGAATGGAGTGGGAAGGTGGTCTTCCCCTGGAGCCAGGCCGCCCAGCAGCCGGACTGTTCTCCAACCACCCTTGGCCAAACTCCCCTTGGCGTCCAGATGTCCTTCTTCTCTCTTTCTCTGCTGTGCCACCCCACTGCTCTCCACTGCTCTGTTCCTTCACTCCTCTCAATGTTCAGCGCTTGTGTCTGTGCCCGCTAAGGTCTTAGGTTTTTATGGGCACAGGATGCGGGGTGAGCCAGAGTGGTCTTGGAAATGTAACATTTGGGCATGAAAACAGAAGTGCCTGTTCTCACTTAGGTCCATGGGCCCAGGTCAGAGGGTGGAGCCCTCGCCAGGGATCCCGCCCTTCTCTACCTAGCACTTCTCTGTCTCCTGTCCATATCAGTTTTGTCCAAACGGAAACTAACGTAAGTGTTTCCAGCACGTTTAAGGTAGGCGACGCTAAGCTGTGATGTTTGGTAGGTCAGGTGTATTAAGTGCATTTGTGACTTACCATATTTCACATCCCAATGAGTTTATCAGGGCCTAATTCGATCATGAGTAGAGGAGCATCTTCAGTTGCTTCAGTTTAGTTTCTGCCCGTTTGATGGCTGCTTAGATGGAGGGATGAATTCCTGCAGCTTCCTACACCACCATCTTCTGTGACACCCCTTCCCCAAGATTCGGATTTCTTTTTTGCCCTGGTGGCCTCTTGTAGCCTGATAAATCTTTGTTTCAAGGAGGTCAAGGTCATGGGGTAAATTCTTTGTGGGGTGCTTGACTGCATTTTGTTTAAACTTCACAGATTGTAGTACCGATCTTAATTTTTAATTTTACTAATGTGATATACACACTTATATAATTCAAAAACAAACCCTGAACCAGGTATGGCGACTCACATCTGTAATCCCAGCACGTTCGGAGGCCGAGGCGGGTGGATCAGCTGAGGTCAGGGATTTGAGACCAGCCTGACCAACATGGTGAACCCCCGTCTATACTAAAAATTTAAAAAATAGCCAGGCATCATGGCACATGCTTGTAATCCCAGCTACTTGGGAGGCAGAGGCAGGAGAATCGCTTGAACCTGGGAGGTGGAGGTTGCAGGGAGCCCAGATTGCACCACTGCACTCCAGCCTGGGTGACAGAGCGAGACTCTGTCTCAAAAAATAAACCCTGAATGTGATTATATACATGATTCAATTAAATTGTATTTCCTTCTGAAATTCATATAAATCTAAATTAGGCAGTAACTTTTTGTATATGATTTATTTATATTTGAAAGCCACAAATGACCCATTTAAACTATTTTTTTAAATAAGTCAGTGAAACAATGTCTTAGAAAGAAACATTTTTGTTTTCTCTGTTCTGTTCTATAACCACCATGTTTTTTTCTTTTTTTTTTTTTTCAGTCACGTACAGGCTTAGTGACAAAGAAACATTGGTTCTCTGTCCTACATTTTCACTATCTTTTCCCTCTGGTCAGAATAATCTCAAATTTACATGTTAAAAACAATCAGTAAGAGAACTATATCACATTTTTATTAGGATGGAAACTTTTCAACTTTATCACAAAGACATTGAATGTGGAGGCTTTCCGTTTGAAGATAAAACTATTCATTTAAAAAAATTTAAAAATTACAATGTTTCCAGTAGCTTCTTTTTGAATTACTAACATATTCCACACTCTAGTAATGGTTTGGCCAGCTAATCGTCAGTTTCTGCTTTAAAATGTTCTAAATTCATGTTTTACTTTTGAAAAATGACAACGTAGATGTTTGGAGGGTTAATGAAAGATGTAGAAACATTTTTTATTCTAAGAATTCCACTTGCCTTTAAATAAAGATATACCGTTTGACCAAACAACCAGATTTTCTTTCTCTTTTCTTTTCCTTTTCCTTTCTTTCTTTTTCTTTCTTTCTTTTCTTTTTTTTTTTTTTTTGAGATGGAATTTCCTACCTATTGCCCAGCCTGGAGTGTAGTGGTGCGATCTTGGTTCACTGTAACCTCCGCTTCCTAGGTTCTAACGATTCTCTTGCCTCAGCCTCCTGACTAGCTGGGATTACAGGTGTGCACGACCACGCCAGGCTAACTTTTGTATTTTTCGTAGAGACAGGTTTTTGCCATGTTGACCAGGCTGGTCTCAACCTCCTGACCTGAGGTGATCTGCCTGCCTCGGCCTCCCAAACTGCTGGGATTGCAGGCATGAGCCATTGTGCCGGGCCAGCTTTTCTTTTTCTAGCAAGGGGAGCCTCTTAAACTTGAAGAGGACCGCGATGGTTGAGGCTGGGCAGTAAGGCTTTACTGCAAATCCTTTGCCACTGTTTTTTCTGACTTTCTAGAGAACTTTCTAGCAAAAGGTTTCTAGAACTTTCTCCTTCCTGGCCTAACTGACATTCCCTTTTATGCATAGCCTCCCTTTCACTTTTCTTCTGCCTGGAGGAAATGAAGCTCCATGGAACTTTCTCTTGAAACTTTCCAAGAAAAAAAGAAAAGCTCTAAGCACTGAATGTGGAGACAGGGGGATGAGCTTCAACTCTGAACTGTTTCCAGCGTAAAACTGTCCTTTCCAGGGCCCGTGTGGCTGTCACTTCAGAGTGGTGGTTGTCTGCTGAGGGACCCCTGACTCAGGCTGCCTCCCAGGGGAAGCTCCGTCTTCCGGCACAGGTAATGGCCTGCAGCTTCATCTCCACCCAGCCCCATCTGAGCAGGCCGGGAGCTCCCAGCTGTTTCACTTCTCTCCTTCCTGACTCCTCACCATCACCATCGCCCTCTCTCCTCCCCACCCCGCCACTCCTCTCCCACACGTGTCCCTTTCTCCCCTTCCTCTGCGTCTGCTTTTCTCAGAAGTTAGCTTACGAAGCAAAGTTGCGACTCTGAATTCCTGTTTTCCAGCCACCCTCATGTGACAGGATGTCTCCTTAGTGGAGGCTTTCCCTAAATTCAGGAGCCCTTTAAAAGGGAGGGCTTCCTCTCTAGTTCTTTTCAGCTGGGCAGCTCTGGGAACTTGGATTAGGTGGAGAGGCAGTCGGGGGGCCTCGCTGTTTGCGTCTTTGTCCCGCCCTCCTCTCCATCAGGAGAAGGAAAGGATAACCCCTGGGCCATGAGGCTACCGCTGCTCCTGGTTTTTGCCTCTGTGATTCCGGGTGCTGTTCTGCTGCTGGGTAAGTCCGCTCTGAGGCAGGGGCTTTCTGACTTGCGGGGCCGGAACCACACCCTCGTTTTGTGGGTTACTGTGAATGGGTTCCTTCCAACACCTTTGTGAGGAGGAAACGGGGTTCCCCTGCACCACGCAGTCCACAGCTAAGCCTGCTGCCTTCACCTGGCGGCCAGGCATGGAAGGCCTGGAGCTGGAGGAGGGAGGAGGATGCGTCTCAGGTCTCGGTTGCTGCCCAGTCTGGAGTCCTACAGACCTTCAGTCTCCTCCTGACTTCTCTCATCGCTCATTGTTCCTTCCCTGTTTTCTTCGTGCAGAAATTTCCTGCTCTGTGGTTTACTCTTTCTGGTTTTCAGTTCACACTATTTCTCTCTCACTGCCAACAAACACCTTCTGAGTGTCTCTGGCTGGAAGAGGGGCAGCCCTGATGTCTCCCCGCGTCTTAGGTCCAAGGATATCAACTCAGATCATCCCCCCAAAAGGGATTCTAAGCAATTTCCATGCTCATTTTTTTTTTCTGCCAGAATCATTCATACATTTGATTGTTAGAAAGTTCATCCTTATCTGTATTCTAGACTGTTCAAACTGCCGCATAAGCAGATCGATTCCTGTTTTTCTTATTTTTCTGGAGATTAGAGATTACTCATTAGGAACAGCTCCAGAGTTTTTCAAATTCTCAAATACATTTGCCAGTCTCTAGACTCAATTGCTTAAACTTTAGGATGGGAGGGCCTTGGGGGATTTTCATTCCTGGTTCTATTTGGAGATGATATAGAAGAGATTTCAAATTTGATTTTTTGGTTTCCAATCCCCCTTTATTTCTGTGATATCAACAAACACTTGCAGAGAATGGTTTGTGCCTATGATCTACTCTATGCACTGATGTGAAGGTGGGTAGGAAGTTTCCTAGGAAGAGAGTATTTTAGTACCGCAAAGTTTAAATCATAATAAGTATTGAGTAGCAGTGATTATAAAAACACAAGTGAAGGCGGTATGGTTTACACCCTGTCTCTCTCACTCACTAGCTTGGCGACCTTGGGCAGGCTACTTTATTTCTTTGTGCTTTAGTTTCCATGTCTATAAAATGGAAAGAATACTATTACCTGCCCCCATCAGTTCTTGTGACGATTCAATGAGTAACAATATGTTAAATGTTTAGAACAGAGTGTGACCCATAGTAAACACCTTGTAAGTGTTAGCTATTAAAATCAGTGGCAGAAAAGAAGTACAAAAAAAGATCAAATAGAAAGGATAGATGAAATTAATTTTATTTTTATTTTTGAGATAGACTCTCATTTTGTTGCCCAGGCTGGAGTGCAGTGGCATGATCTTGGCTCACTGCAACCTCCACCTCCCGGGTTCAAGCGATTCTCATGCCTCAGCCTCTCAAGTAGCTGGGATTACAGGCGCAGACCACCATACCCAGCTGATTTTTGTATTTTTAGTAGAGATGACGTTTCGCCATGTTGGCCAGACTGGCCTCAAACTCCTGACCTCAAGTGATCTGCCCTCCTCGGCCTCCCAAAGGGCTGGGATTATAGGCGTGAGCCACAGCGCCCAGCCCTGATTTTATTAATGTATTTTATTTCACCCAGTAACTCAGAAATATTATCACTCAACATTTAATTGATTTGGGATATTTTCCCATTCATTTCTTTAAACTAACTCTTCACAATCTGGTGAGTATTGTATACTTATAGCACGTCTCAATTCACAGTAGTGTCATTTTATGTGTACAGTGGTCACATGAGGTGGCTAGCTATCATACTGGGCAGCACAGATACAGTGCCTAATTTTCTTTAAACTGACTCGATAATGCTTCTGAGCGATAGCGTTTCTCGGTTTGCTCAGGAGTGTTTCCTTCTTCCTGACAGCAGGATGCCCTCTTCTGACTAATGTCTTCCTTTTCATAGGCACAGATACTGGGGAGAGAGGGAGGATGCTGAAGATCTGTTTACTTGGAGAATAAACAAACAAAAAATTCAAGGGAGCCCGTTACTTGAAAGCCTGTAATTTGTGTTGTTTTGTTTTTTGAGACGGGTTTCACTCTGTCTCCCAGGCTGGAGTGCGGTGGTGCGATCACGGCTCACTGCAGCCTTCACATCTGGGCTCATGCAATCCTCCCGCCTTGGCCCGCTCCCAACGCCGCAGTAGCTGAAACTTTAGTAGAGACAGGGTCTCACTAACTTGCTCAGTTCGATCTCAAACTTCTGGGCTCTGGCGATCTTCCCACTTTGGCCTCCCATAGTGCAGGATGATAGATGTGAGCTAGTGCACCCAGCCTGTAACTTTTATTTTACCTTTTCTTGGCCCAAGAAGCATGTGATTGGAGGAATTTGTGTAAAGGCAGAGCACCTGCTTACTTAGCAGCAGGTTAAAGCTATGTGAAGTCTCAAGACCTCTCCCCTGGCTTCTGCCCACCAGGAAAACCCATGGGAAGGTCTCCCTACTTACAATCGGTTTATTTCTTTTCAATCCACAACCCTTCCTTCCACCTTCAGGAGAGCATCCCACAGCATTAGCACCATAAGTCTCTGTGGGCTGCTGCCAACGGATGGGCTGGTTCTATCTGGAGGGGTACAGGAGGCTAGAGGTTAACAGGACTAGACGCTCACCCTTCCTACTGTTGTTCTTGCCACGCTGTCTTTTTATCACTCAGCAGCAAGGTTTTGAGCTCAGTTGGGTTATAATCATGGTAGATGTACCATGAGAGCTGGTGGGACACAGAGGTTAGACCACAGCAAAGAAGTTTAACTTGGAAATAGGAAGGTTTGGCTCACGGGTAGTGGTGTATTGGCAAACTTAACTACTGTAACTACTGGTTCCAAGAAGGAAAAGAAAGGAAGCACTGATTTGATTTATGCTGTTTACTGATGTCCATGCTGTAAATATTCCCACCATGGTTGATTTCAAACTACTGACTTGATGCCAGTGGGGACAGAGTTGGGAAGAGATGCCAACAATAGGCTCTTTTGTTTGTTTGTTTGTTTGTTTGTTTTGAGATGGAGTCTCTCTCTGTCACCCAGCCTGGAGTGCAATGGTGTGATCTTGGCTCACTGCAACCTCTGCCTCCTGGGTTCAAGCGACTTGCCTGCCTCAGCCTTCCGAATAGCTGGGATTACAGGCACCCACCACCACGCCTGGCTATTTTTTTGTATTTTTAGTAGAGACGGGGTTTCACCAAGTTGGCCAGGCTGGTCTTGCACTCCTGACCTCGTGATCTGCCCACCTTGGCTTTCCAAAGTGCTGAGATTACAGGCATGAGCCACCATGCCCGGCCAACAGTAGGCTCTTACTAGCTGCTGCCATCAGTCCCTGGGCAACATGGAGCCTTTCTAGGCTCTGGGAAGGCACTCAAACAGTGGGTCAGGCAGTATCACAAAAAGCCTAGAACATCTTCAAAAAATGAAAATGAGAGACTTGGTGGACAGAGAAGCCTTAGAATCATGGAGCATTAAAGCAAGAAGGAAGTTGGAGGTAATGCATTTTGACATCATTTTATCGATGAAGTACCAGGCTCAGGGAGGTAAAATGTCCAGAAGGTGACTGTTTAGCAGGGAGACACAGATCCAGGACTTTGCTCAACAGCTTGTACTTTTCCACCTCCCCTTAGATTTCTTGCCGCGCTGTTAGATCAGGTAAGGGCAAATTAGGTTATTCCTGTTGCCATTTGTGGAGCTCGCATTTGGCTGGAAGGGATCCAACATTGACATCACACTAATGGTATAATCCTGATACTCCTCTATTTCATTTCCCTCAATGAAATGCTAAGAAAGATAATTATATGTAATTATCACAGTAGTGGTTTTTCACAATCACTGTTGAAAACTTTGATTCCAATATAAATGTATGTCTTATGTTAAATATTGGCTCTTCAATGTATTTTTTCACAAAACTGAATTAAGTGGGAGAAAAATACAAGCACCTTTCTCTTTTTTAAATGTAGTCTCCATCTTTCTCAGTGTTTGTATCTAGATGGCTGAGCTAACTTTTACGCTTTGGAATATATATATACACACACACACATATATACACACACACATATATACACACACACACATACACACACACACACACACACACACACACACATATATATATATATGCTTTTTTTTTTTTTTTTAAGACAGGCTCTCACTCTGTCACCCAGGCTGGCGTACAGTGGCATGATCATGGCTCACTGCAGCCTTGACCTGCTGGACTCAAGTGATTCTCCCACCTCAGCCTCCTAAGTAGCTAGCACCACAGGTGCATGCCACCGTGCTTGGCTAATTTTTGCGTTTTTTTGTAGAGATGGGGTTTTGCCATGTTGTCCAGGCTGGTCTCAAACTCCTAGGCTCAAGTGATTTGCTCACCTTGGCCTCCCAAAGTGCTGGGATTACAGGCATGAGCCACCGTGTTCTTAGGTTTTGACAGTTATGCAACTTTTGGTTTAATCTACAAATATTGCACGTGAATAACTGTGGTAGAAACTTAGACCTCAGGGGCCCATAGCTTCCATAAAGCAGATGGGAAGATGTCACTGTGTACTTTTCCCTAGGTAAGAAAGCTGAAGCTCTGAAGATTCAGTGGCTTGCAGAAGTCAGGTAGTCAGTAAGGAACAGAGCTAACTCTTCATTATGATCTTCAGACTCTGAGGCTAAGAAGTAGATATTTACTACCTGGAGTGTGTTGATCACGAAGGATATAATGTGGTTCAAATAACACTATGTTAAAAGAAGGATTTGGATCCCTTTATCTGTATCAATTTTTCTAGACTTTTCACTTCAACAGGGGGAAAGGAGGGAATTAATATTTATCAAGTGTGTATTATATACAAATGATATGCTGGGTGCTTTACATAAATGACCTCATTTAGAAGTTCGTGGTAGCTTTACCAGACAGCATTATTATCCCCATTTTACAGATGAGGAAGTAGAGGCTAGAACGGCTAATAGCACTAAGGCAACGCAGCTAAAAAATGGTGGAACCAGGATTTGATTGCAAGTCTATCAGCCCCAAAGAACA